GTTTTATTGATTAATGTTCGTTTTCACTATTGCAATTATTTCAGCTTTGGTAAGAATGCTGTATAGATTTCTACAATTTTGTGTGTATGTTTTAATGTATACTGGTTCACTGAAGGTCTCAATTTATCTGTCATTTCTCTAACATGCAGGATAACAACAATAACAGCCACTAGTTCATCATTTTCTTAATCTTGTAAGAGTTCTTACTCTCTCAAAGGCTGAACAATAACAATTCACAAACAAATTCACAGACAAAAACAAAGTTAATGTATATATATTCTATTTGGTCTTATCACTTGCTAATATGGACTTAAACAAACAGTGACGGTTGTCTTAGTGGGTTCGTTCAGGTATTCGTGCTTTATGTCAGTTCACTAGATCGGATTATGCGCTGTCATTAGAAGTGATCCTAGGAACTCATATTCAAACAAATATCTACATCAATAAACAATCAAAAATTATTATAATAAGTACTATAATGCGTACTGCATAGACTAATGATAGAATAGATACCCGATGCTGCTGAACTATACTGTGAAAGAAAAAAGAAAGAAACAACAGTTTGAAGTATACAAATTGTTTCTGTGCCAAGTTAAGTTTTTAAAAAAGGTACCGCTTAGTTTTTGAGTTATAAGGGTCGCAATATCAGAGATGAACGCCAGTGTAAAAGCGAAATGAGTTTTCAGAGAACTTTCTGCACTACCATGACTTTCCGGCTTTCTCTGCGTATCTTTAAACAGAGCTAATAATCAATAAATAATTTTTTGGAAAAAGGCCTCTTTTAGTTTTTAAGATATAGCCCTCTTACTATCACAGACTAAAGCTAGCCAAATATATGGATTTCACTTTGGTCATCTCTCATACTTTCTTTAAGTGCTGCTATATCCGTGTGTTATCCAAGTACTATAATGCGAACAGTTATTGTGTAAGCGATTGAAGTCGTCTAAACTCGATTTAAATTCCTTTGTTGGAAGTGAAAAGCTTGTGTTTTACCCACTCTAGTCTGAATGTACCCAGATCCAATAGACACGGTCGTAAACGACCGTATACGGCCACGTACGGCGATATACATCAGCCGTATACGGGGGTCGTATTACGACGAAATACGGCGGTTGACGACTGCCGTATACGGCGAATTTCCTGTGACCTGTGTTCCTTGGAATTCTATTGAAATGTATTCTTGTAAGTTTTCCGATACGAACTAGTGTTCTTTATGTGATCAAAATGCATCAAAGTGTTCTTTTGATCAACTACCCAGGTCCAAAAAAACGGTTAACGTCTAGTTAACAGCACAAAAAACGGCGCGTTAACGTTCTCAAAAAGCAAAAAACCGGCTAGTAAACAGGCCATTAACGGCCAGTTGCTGGCCAGTCTCTCGACTGCACCTTACAATTTATTTCCACTTCAGCAAACTATGATTACTATACTATATATGGAAGTTTGACGGAAGGTGTGGTAAGGTATTTTCATCAATGAGAGCCCACGCGTGGATATTCATGGTATTTAGTGCAAACATGAATAGCAAATTCACACTTTTGTTTACAAACAATATGGTATAACCAGGATGTGCTGGATTTATAATTCTAGATAGGTGTGTTCGAATCTCAATCCTGATAAACAATTATAATTGTATGTATGTGAGTGGTAAGTGATATTCAAGACGATACAACGCATGGGTGACGTCTTGAACCTCTGTATACATCTTCTATAGAAGATGCTGGAAACGAAAAATAAATTGAAACTAAACTGACCGTTAACGGCCGTAAACGGTCACGGCGCAGTTACGGCCGTAAAACGGCCGGCGTATTTACGGTGTAGTTACGGCCGTTTACTGCCGTATTTGCACCGTATACGGCCGTTTACGATGCAAATACGACCGCAAACGGTGATTTACGGCGGTCGTTTACGGTAGTCGTAAAATTGAACCTGGGTAGTTGTTACTCTCTTCCTTGTCGTTATAACCGACAAATATTCGATAAAACGCCATTTGTTCTTCTCTTAGATTAAGTATAAGAAAAAAGTGTTTGTATACGTATGTTCAAAATACGAAAAAGAAGCAAATGAAGAAACAAATGAAGCACACAACGTGCATATAGGACGACTTTGTGTTAAATTCAAAATAACAGAAGAACAATATTATTTTCATCGAATATTCAGTTTAGCCAGTGTGAACATACGTCCAAACTTGGGATCTTCTTGGCATATTGTTCAAGATATTGTGAAGCAAATATGAAATAATTTATATTTGACAATAATAATACAGAAATCCTTTTCAATTAATCCTTTTGAAATACGACAAAGAGATCCTGGTCAAGAACGACAGCAGAATCCGTCTCAAGCACGTCGATGGATTCTGATCGTAGTAGAACGTCTCCTCCAAAATCGCATACTGCGACAACCGCAGCGCTCTCAGACACAACAACAATGGTGAAACCGATCAATGGCTTAGATGTTGTTGGGTGTGGTTTTGATGTGACAAATCTGACAAGTAAATTTTGCTGTTAGATATTAGACGTCAACCAATGACCGGCACGTGGATGGATCCACTGGATCATTCATTAGTTTATACAATACCAAATGGTTCTATTATATTTCATAAATCAGATTCCTTACAAATTCAACATACAATTCTTATACGCACAATTCATGATTATTTGTTAAAATCAATTTGCAACTGTGGATGACGATGAAATAGAAATGAGTCCCATATGCATGTTGTGTGCTTCATTTCTTTCTTCATTTGCTTCTTTTTCGTATTTTCCTAAGAAACTAATCTAGTTACTTCGTTACGAGAAAGTAATGTGTGATGTAACCTTGAAATATACTTTTTTCTTTTATTTTCGGTAGCTAAATAAACTCTTTTTGACTACAATGACTTTCCGGCTTTCTCTTCGGATCATGATAATCAAAGATAAGGTGTATTCAAACTTCTCAATCTTAAAAATTCATTATTTTCTGTTTTCTTTCGCAGAGTAGGCGTGGTGTTTTCGTTCATTTTTTTTACTGCAGAGACCATAAATGTGTTATTAAAATACAAATAATGAAAAGCAAGGCCTGTGGCGCTTTCTTTCTGTCGATATCGCGACAATTGCAAAGATGTTTCGGAGTTATTTAAAAAATCTCTAGAAATTCTCTCTAGAATTTCCAGTTTCTTGGAAATTTCGATTTTCTGTAAACTAGAAAATGCTCGAGGAATTTATATATTCTTGAAATTTGCCGAACATTTTCTATAAATAATTTTCTCCTTTACAATGTAGTTGACCTCAGGTGGCTGTTTGTAAAAAACGTTTGATGTAACATGAAGAGAATTGTACGAGGTTTATGAAAAGCTGAACTTGTTCGTGAGCTGATTGTCAATTAAGGTTCTAATTTAAGTTTTCTTTTAATTTTAATGAACGAAAGACCGTTCAAAAACAACAATTTTCATATTCTCTTAGGAAACGATGAAAATACACTTTTTCTATCCGGTTTTTACATATATACATAGTTGTTTTTGCTTTATATGGCATCCACAAATTAAAAAAGTTACACACAGGAATCGCCAAAGAAGCCTTTTGAATTTCGCCATGTTTTAAGTTATGTGAGAGAAATTTAAATCGCTTGAGAAAACGAACCGCATGTTCTGAATATGAACGCACAAGCACAAAGCACAATAAATTCAAAGTAAACAGCTCAAGAACCTTTTCTAGAATACCTCTGGAAAACCCTAAAATTAGGCGGCATGTATTGGTGACCTTATACGTTTGTAAGCCGTGCTTTTTAGATACGAGTGCAGAAAAAGCCAAAGTTTTGTCGTAGAGCGCTTGGTCTCTGTGAAAGGTTTTCCGGATACCTCGGGTTTTCCGTAAAAATTCGTTTGCAGAAGCGGCCTGAGATAACACAAAACTTTTCCACAATAATTTCTAGATAAAAAAAAGTACGCTCTACAAGACCTATGTGGTTGTTTGACTTCGATGTCTAAGACTGTTCTGGGAAAAAAGTGACCCGTAAGACCTTATCGCTGAAAAATCGATTTTCTGGAATCTCATTATGAAGTATGGGGACCGAGAAAACTGATAATGCCATTAGATTCAGCATGCTCGGAAACCTCTAAGAGCCAGCTCTTGCAAATCTACTGCTTCTCAATGTAACGCTGTAAGCAAATCTTTCAACTGAAAAATCCTCTCATTACTCCAAAGAAGAAAAATAAAAAAAACGACTATGTTCGTTCACTTTGGTAATTTCTAATTGATTAATCAAGGATATGTTCAAAGGACTAGCAATTTATAAGGTAGATAGAACTCAAAATTCTCTACAAGATGGTGTAGTTCTTAATTAGAAAGGTAAAACTTTGCCGTTGAAAAAAAGTTGTTTTACTTCCTTCCAGTCATTTTTGCTGGACTGTTCCGAATTACCCCAGCGAGTCACTCTGACTCTCCCGAATTACCCAATTCGGGACATTTGATAGAAGCTCTCTGGAAATTGATGAGTACTAATTAATCTTATTGAACTTTAACAAGATTTTTACATCAGTAGATAGAGAAATGTTCGGTCTATCCACCTGCGAAATGTCGTTTTTTCCCGAGTAAAAATGTTTCAGGTATGCTCAAATACCGTGAAAATTAGAGAGGCTGTCCCGAATTACCCCAACATATTCTATTGTTCTTCTGTTATTTTGAATTTAACACAAAGTCGTCCTATATGCACGTTGTGTGCTTCATTTGTTTCTTCATTTGCTTCTTTTTCGTATTTTGAACATACGTATACAAACACTTTTTTCTTATACTTAATCTAAGAGAAGAACAAATGGCGTTTTATCGAATATTTGTCGGTTATAACGACAAGGAAGAGAGTAATAACTACATTCAGGCTAGAGTGGGTAAAACACAAGCTTTTCACTTCCAACAAAGGAATTTAAATCGAGCTTAGACGACTTCAATCGTTAAAAACCGGGACCGGTGCATGGCTATTCATAGTAAGATTTCACAAGAACCTCAGCTTTATAATAGGAGTACGTTTCAATGGTACCGCGTGTGAAAACTGCTTTTCGCCGTAACGAGAAGTGAGATAAAAATTAAAATAGGGATTTGTGCCTAACTTCTACGGAGAATCGACCTAACTCGAAATAAAGAAAGATATATTACCATGATGTTATGGCTTTTCTCGATGCTTCCATAGAATCTCTCTTAATTCTTTCTACTCCTTACGTTAACAGGTTAGTAGTAACAGCACACAATCTGAAAACGCTCGTGGCGAAGATCCCCATTTCGACAATGCAATATGGTGGTATTCATGTAACGAAGCATTTATCTTCAGTCAAATTAACAATATATTACGTTTAGAAAACTTTGAATTATTAATTACCTATCGTTATTACATTGTCCGTTTATGTCAAATGATTGAAGAATTGTACATTAAGAATAAACCACGACAAAAACGTCAAATTGTTTATCGTGCTGATAAAATTAAGCAGTCTGATTTTGATGCTATGAAACAGTCATCAAAAGAGAAAGATCAACTTATATCGATAAATGGTTTTATTTCAACAACAACTGATAAAAAGATTGCTGAGTTTTATGCTAAGAAGCCATCTAACGGTGTTGATTTTGTGCCAGTATTATATGAAATAACAATTGATCCACTCATACCATGTCAAGCATTTGCCGATATCGAAACAATATCGTTTCATCCCGAAGAAAAGGAATTGTTATTCAGTATTGGCTCAACATTTTCTGTTGACAGTGTTGCTAAAAATGATAATGAAAATTTTCATCGTATAAAATTGACGGCACGTAATATGCGTGCTCCCGTTCTGGATGACATGAAATTAAAAGTAAAAAAATCATCACAATCATCGCTAACCATATTGTTAATTAAATATTTAATTGAATTAGGTGAACATCGTGCTGCTCGACGATATTTAAAATCAATATTAGACAGTGTAGCATTAGAAAATGATCCATCATTGGCTTCAGCTTACAACTGTTTGGCACTCATTTATTCGAAAGAAGGTATACATAGTGCTGCACTTGAATATTACAAGAAAGCATTGAATACCCAAGCTAGGTTAGAATATTCAAATAATAATGCATTAGCTGAAATTTACAATAATATTGGCTATACTTATATTGGATTACGTAATATTGACGTAGCAATACAAAATTTAAATGAAGCTGAACGGATACAATTGCGTGAACCAGAATTAACAAGGGAACATTTAGCATCAATTTATTGTAATATTGGACAAGCATACTTTATTAAAAATGATCATAGTAAATCTAAAGAATACTTTGAAAAATCCTTCGATATTTATAAAGAAGATACTACAAAAAAGATAAGACATGATGCACTAGAAAATAGTTTAATGAAAGCTGATTTATGTATTCAGTATGGGCATTTATTAAGTAAACTGGATGATAATTTTGCTGATGCTACAGAGAAATACAATATGGCATTAAAAATTTATGAAAATACATTAATACTTGAACATCCAAAATTAATGAAAACACATATAGATATATTTAGTGCATACGCTAAACATAAAGCCTATAGCGCGGTAACAGAAAAATATGAAAATAAAGAATTTAAAGTATTAATCGAGAAATATACAGGAAGTCAACAAACTTTAGCCAATTTATATTTTATTATTGGTGCTTGTTATATTCATCAAGGAAAATATGATGATGGAATGAATGTTTGGAATAACGCTATTCTATATGAAAAGAAACAATATTTAGATGAAAATTTACCATTAACGACAACTGATGGAACAATTCAGGTAATTAATAGTGCATATCGAAAAGCTTTTATTTATTATAGCAACGAGTCAAATAGTGACTCGTTTAATCTTGGAATAATAACTTCAAAATTATTTAATTATGATAAAGCAATAAAACATCTTAAGGCTAGTGAATCGGCGACTATTGATAAAAGTATAATTAGGTCAATTCTGCTTGGTGATATGTATTTTGATAAAGAACTATTTAAATCTGCAATAATTGAATACAATAATGCATGTGATCAAATAGGAACAAAAGAAAATTATTATTTTCTCAAAATTGCAATAAATTTATTGATTATTCAATCTTTAGATGATAATAATGAGAAATTAGATGAATTAATTAAAATAAAAGATAGTTTATTAAATAATGATGATATTGATTATAATACAACTTCTATGAAAACAATTATTTATTATAAAATTGCTCAATTATATTTAAGATTAGAAAAATATGATGATGCACGTTTATATGCTTATGAGTCAGTTAAATTAAAAATAAATCACTTTTCACATCGTCATCTAAATTTAGTAAAAGATTATTTATTAATTGCTAATAGTTATTTTAATGAAAAAAATTATAGTGAATCATTACAATTATATGAACATATAATTGAAATACAAATTGTTAATCTTCCTCCTGATCATACTGATATAAGAATGAGTTATTATAAAATTGGTGATGTTTATTGTAAAATGGAAAAATTAGATCAAGCAATAGAAAAATATAAAATTGCACGTTCAAATAATCCACATTATTATTTACCAATGCATATAAATTTAATTGAATTATATCATAAACAAAAATGGTATTCAAAAGCGCATGAAGAAGAAGAAATAGAAACACTTAATATTTTACGTGAACAATTACCAAAAGATATTGTAAATATGGCTGAAGAAGATAATTCAAATTTATCTCTACCTGCATTTCAAACACTATTTACAAATAGAATAAATATAATAAGTGGTAAAATGTTTGCAACTTTTCTTCAAGATTTAATTTCTATTTATCTTACAATTGGTGATATATATGTTAAAAAACAATCAATTGATGATGATGATGATATCAGACAAAATGAATTAAGAGAATGTATTATCATGTATAAGAAAGCAATTAATCTCCTTTTAAAAATAAGTATGTATCATGATAACAAGTTAACTGTGTTAATTTATGAAAAACTTGGAAATATTTATGAATTAAATAATAATTTAGAAAATGCAATTAAAAATTATCAAAATGCATTAGCTATAGAAACGGAGAAGTATGCTTTACATCATAAACTTGTAAGTTTTAGTTATATAGACAAAAAATATGAAAGTTTAAGAAAATATATGTCATACTTCTGGTATACAACAGGCACAGTCTCAAAACAAGCATTTGCACGCATTTGGCACTATAATAACTCTACATCCAATGACGAATTTTTTAAAGGATTAATTGATGATGGTGTGAGAACATATTTTAGTTTAGCACAAACCTATTCTGAATTAAACGATTATGAAAATGCATTAAAATATTTCAAGAAAAACGTTGAATTCTCATCGACGGATGTAACATTGAGTAGTTTGAATATTCCAAAAGAAATAAATAGTAAAATGGCGAAATATATTCCAGATTTAATTATTGAAAAACTAAATAAAATAAAAACAATATCAACTCATGTTCTTGACGATAATAATAACAATAAAATTGAATCTTATATAAAATGTGGTGAAATATCAATGATAAAAAATAAATATGGTGATGCTATCGAATATTATTTAAATGCATTTTACTTATGTGTAACAAAATTAAATAATGCCGAAATACTAACAGATAAAGAATTCATAGACGAAATTTGTCAAAAATTAAAACAAGATAGTCTCGAACAAAAAGATATTATTACTTATTATTCGAATATTTCTAATCAAGATGCGATAATGATTAATGTGAAAATGGGTGCATTAAATAGAAACAATGGTGATGATAAAGATGCAATTAAAAACTATGCCGATGCTCTACAATTGTTAGATGGAGGCACATCAAATCAAATTATTGAAGCAGCAATTAATTACATTCTATTAAAACTTTATTTAGGGGATAGTGAGAGCAATAGAAAGTCTTCTTCTCTTTCTATTACAAACGATCTTTCATTTTATCAGTCATTTTTGCCATTCAGTTCTATATCCAATGGTGTTGATGACGAGCACATTAAGAAATATCGTACAGAAATGATTGAAAACATGCGAATTGATAAACATAAAATACCAGTACCTGATCGTGTACTTATTTGTAGATTAATTATCAACAACGTTGAAGATGAAATAAGCAAGAAGAAGTACAAAGATCTATTGTATCAGATATACTTGGAAAAAGAAGATAAAGATTCTTATGCTCAACCATCTTCTGATAGTTTAACCTGTATCGGGCATGTATTAACAAAAGCTGATGATTATAAAGCAGCTATTTTATATTGGAATGAAATTCGAGAATTTAAAGAGCAAATGTTACCAACAACAATTATGGATATGATACATTCACCAAAATCAACATTCATTCAAATATATAATGAAACAAAATTATTAAACAAGAATTTATCAAAATATATTCTATCCATTGCAGATTATAGTAGAAAACTTGGTGATTATTACGTGAAATTGAATAATAGAGAGGAAGCGGATGACGCAATGTTCTTTACGTGTCGACGTAGAGCTATTGAATGTTATCAAAATGCCAGTCGGTATTATGACTGTGAATTAAATAGTTTAATGAAAAGGGAAGATGATGAACGGCACGATAGAAATATTCATCGTAAAAATATTGAACATATAAATAAAAAAATGTGTGAAGATTTTATCAATTACAGTGTAAAACGTGGTGATAAATATAAACTATTGGCTAGTGATGCTGAAAAAGATAAAATACTTTTTTATTATCAACGTGCTATTCAATGTTATCAATTTGCAAGAGATGATTATAAACGTTTAATAAAAATTGATGAAATTTATTCTAAACAAATTGAAGAGATTAATATTTATATTCAAGATACTCTTGAAAAAATTGCCAATCATCTAGTAGAACAGGGTAATACATTGGCTAATGATAAGAACAGCGAAGAAGATAATCAACTTGCTATTCAATATTATGAAGATGCAAAATTTAACTATAATTATGCATTAGAAATTTTAATCAAGGAAGAAGAAGGACGAGATAAAATTAACAAATTTTATCGTCACAATATTGAACATATTAATAAAAACATTAAACGTATGACTAATAGAGCATTGGGTAAGAATTTTCTTGATGCTTGATTAACTTCTTGAGCGTTGAGTCTGTTTGAGGTGCTGTACAAGAAGAATGTGATGTTAGGTTTTTTGCCCAATAATTGATATGAGGTACAGACAGTAACTTATGACTTAGTACAATGAACTGTTCGCCATATAGTGCTCAGTCTATCGCCGTATGTTCTATCCAATGGTGGTAGCACAGTAGTGCAATTATATTCTACTAATCATAAGCGGATATGTCTATGACCCATAGTTTATTTTTATACAAAATGAAATAAACAAAAATTTTTTGATTGAAATGATAGAAAATTGCTTTGATAAATAAGAGAACTATTTTAGGCTGAAAGACATATATTACGTAAAAATCAATCAATTTTAAAGCATTGGAGCTTATCTATTATACATGATAAGTCTAATATTTTCAAAATATGATGCACCTCGGCACGTACCTTTAGTGAGTAATTTTTCGAAGCGAGGAAAGAAATTGTCTCCTCTTAATTGGAATCGCTAATCGTGAAGCAGAAATTAGGATAGCTCGAACTTTCAAAGATCTACAGATTCTGCTACCTATAATATTGTTTCTCTAATTCTAATATCTCACACTTTGTTAATAGCTGATTTAACTCGTACAATTTATGCCGAAAATCTTGAAGAAAGCGTTAGTAAATATGATGAAAATTTTTATTGTATAATAGAAAAAGTTATAATAACACCGAATACAATTAGAGTTTATATAGATGAACGAGGTAACAGTAGTTATGGTCTAATACAACATCCTAACACATCAAGGCTAGTATTAGTCAATGAAAGTTCAACAAATATCGATTTAACATATCTTGACTGTCACTTTACAATTGCTGATCCAGCTCGACGATATTTAGGTATTATCGTTGTAGTCAATAACCAAACAAAGAGGTTCTACTTTTCTTTATTTAACTTTAGGTTATTTGAAATATAAAACTGATTTTGTTTACAATGATTCAATATTACAATTTTATTTTTCCTATGGTGGTGCTGGATATACGACTGCTCGATTGTTTAGTTTAAATAAAACATTGATTAAAGCGTTAAACTTTCATCCATTGATAAATATATGGCGTAAGCCAATTGAAATAAGAGAAAAGCAAGGTAATTTAGAGATCTATCGAAAAACTTAAAAGCATGAATATGAATCTATCGTATAACAGAAAGAACATATATGTATGAGTGAATTGCATAACCATTGTACTGTTGGTTGTCGGAGAATGTTTTGCTTTTATGAAAGCTGTTCTGTTCAACAGATTTTAAATTGCTTTTTGTCGTTTTGTTTGTTTAGAAATGGTCATTCACTTGTAAGAAAAGAAACTCTCCATCTCAAATGGATGTCGAGATGTCCATCAAACAAGACTAAGTTTGGCTGTTTTGGGCATCATCTGGAGAAAGAATGAACTTTTTTCTCACATTTATTTAAACTAGTTTTAAAACTTTTTTTAGCGTTTCTTGTAGTCTGAAAGGCAGGCTTTGAGAATGCGTACTTTAAATTTAAATAAAATCATATTTTGATTCTGATTTTATCAAAAAACTCTGTTTACAAGTACTTCTGCCAAATTCTGTCCACCGAGATTAGAACTAAATTTATATGCTAATGACGCCTGTTAAAAAGTTTTAAAACAGACAGAAAGATGGAGCGTAACAAGCTCTACATTTTGGTAAGAGAAGAAAAGTTTTAGAGATTTTTATTTAACCGGAAATCAGGATGAAACATGTATTCAATCTGCTTTTTTGCACAAAATGTCCACCGAGATTGCTTTGTCTATATTTCGACCCAAATAACTTCAAATTCCAACTCATCGTACATCATACGATTCGTTGACAGCCGGAATACTGGCCTGACATCTCAAAAAACTTATGGAGTTTATATATTGTCTTTTATTTTAACAAATCGATAACCTTTTTTCCTCTCGAAAATACCGTTTTCTGAAGACGATAGTGCTATCGTTTGGTACTTTGGAAAATACTATTTCACTATCAAAGAACTAATCTTTTTTCATAAAAAATATCCGTTTATATGTACCTTACCATGCTCTATCTGTTGAGCATAGTGAGATTCGCCCCGCTGAAACTTTTGTATAAAGCGGGTGGATCTGTGTGGAAATACCCAGCACTAAAGATTAGGTAGTTCTTTAAAATCATTTTATTGGAGCCTTATCAAACTCACTAAACAATTAACACAGCCCTATCAAATGTACGACTCCGATTTTGTTTGTTTGAAACTTTTTATTATCGTGTTTTTTTTCTCAAACGGTACAATGGCCATGCAATTCACTTGTATATATTCTTTTCTGTACCTTACTTAACTTAATGGATTTGTATGTTTAATCGGCATTATTTGATGTTACGAAAACCAGCATATATTATTAAGCGAAGAAATAGAGAAAAAAATGACAGTAAATATAAATATTTTATTTATGATAGAAAGAAAATTTTCATAAAAAGATCAAATTTTATATTTTTTAGCTTATTAATTAACAAACCGCGTTGTTTTTTCTCTACAAGTATCCGACAAATCAGATGACTTACCGTGCTTTCAAGAAAGTACACCAGATAAATGACTTAAATGATCATCAACAACTCTCATTTTCTCAGATGAAAAGGCTATTGACTTTTTCACGTGAATATAGCAAGCAAGAAAACGAGAAAAGAAAAAATTTTATAGTTTTTTTATGCTCAATCAATTATTGTATGACCATGAAAAATAGTACCCGCTTCAATATATGGCATATGTTGTCATTTGGTGAGTTAAAATAAAATTAACTAAATAATAATTATTTCTACCTCTTATATTACTTTCTAAAACACGAGTTGTATTCTACGTCCAGTACTGAAGATGACGCCAGACAAGTTCTTTGTTGAACTATTGTCATTATCTGTTGTTTTATTAAGATCATGGACTAAAATAAAATTGATTGATTGATCCAGTCTTTTTTTAGAAAAAAGTACCGTTCCGTTTTGGAGTTATACAATTACCAACATCACTGGTCAGCATACGAAAGCTTTAGTTTTGATTAAAATTTCAGATGGACTTTCAGAAAACTTTCTAAACTGTCTTGACTTTTCGGTTTTCTCTTCGGGCCATGATATTCACACAGCATTATACAGAATTTATCTACAGTCTTCTCTTATTATGTATGTACAAAGCATATTAAGTAAATTTAATATAGAAAAAACGAAGAAGGAATAGAGAAAGAAATGAGAGTAACAGAAAGAATACACATTATTATATATTTGCAAAACGAAGGAGAAGGACTAGACCAACAAAACGAACAAAAGAAATTAGTTTAATTTAACAAATTACGAGTTTGTGAACTAATCTGGGATGTATTATTTTTCTCATTTAATATATATACATCACTACTTTTTTGACGAGTGCTACATTCTGAACGGAACCGTAGCCAGCGAATAAACTGTCTGTATGATGGATTGATTATTCAGAACTCGCTGGAAACATAGTGATCAACTTATAGAGCGTTTCAAAATCTGTTCCAATCGGTCCGTAGCTATTCCTATGTTCCTTTATTCGGCTACTATTTTTGTCTTCTGCTGTTACACATTTTATAATGATTTCTATATAAATGCAGAGACCTGAGTAGGTGCCGGACATGGGGGGGTAACGAAAGTGTTTTGTCCGAGATAGACTTTATTTTAAATTCCACGTTCGAGGTGGTGTAAACTCTGTTTTTTGTATAGTTACTCAGTAATTACCTTGTTACTGTTCTTTTAAATTTTTGGGGGGTACACATACCCCCACACCTCCCCAAAATTCAGGTCTCTGTAGAAATGCAGAGTACTGTGGAAGGAGAAATAGACACTGTTTCAGTTTTTTGTCGTACTTTTATTAGTTCTCAGTCATTTTGGGTAAAAAGAGATTCCATTCAAGTACATGAAATTTTAATTGATAATTGACTGCTAAGTAAGTTTTAGAGATAATTAGTTAAAAAATACCTCGTTTTGTAGCCCAAATCTTCCTCTCTCTACCATATGATTTTGAGCTAATTATCGTTTGAACTCATTGAGCTAATTAAGACACTATCAGCCATACTCGAGATTGTCTTTTTTTTATGTATTGAGGGAACAACAAATCGAAGTGTTGCACATAGGCGCATTACAGAAATGCACTATTTTATATCTTTATCCCATTCACTTGTATTTAAATCAACCGGTGTCTGTTGATGAATTTTGATTCCACTCGCTTGCCACTTCACTACCACAAATGATAGCTCATCAAGGCAACCACAGTTCTCTACTTTCTAATAAAGATACAGTTGACTGTGCGAGTTACGACGGGCTTCGCTCGTCTCGACGTCGGTCGGTCGTAAACTATCAACTAACAGCAAAAATATTCGAGCGCGCTGGAGATCATGTTCACTTTCATCTCACACTGTATGGAAAGATAAGCTTTTTGGTGCTTCTCTCTATATTCTCCAGGCGGAGGAAGCACCAGAACACCCCTAGATATCCCCAGGAACCTCCTACACTTACTCGTCTTTCTACACAAAGAAAAACTCTAACATCAGCAGAAAGATTCAAAAGTTCATGAAGATCCGCATGCACCCGAAACCTGTCCAAGTAGGTTCTGCATGGTCGATTGCCTATTCTGTATCATTTCCATCTAATAAAGTTCAAGAAAACTGTTCGACCAACAGGATCGCAGCTAGAGGTCAGTGAGAGATTCCTAGGTGCCGAATATTATGTTCCCCCTACATTTTACTTCAAACCGCACGTAAAATTCGGGAGAAAACCAAGTGTCCTCAGGAGGTCGGACATCATGTTTATCCTTCATCTTGCTTCAAACTATAGCTAAAAGTCGGCAGAACACCAAACATTTTCAAAAACCATCTGGAGATCATATTTTGTACCGTGAAATTCTCCGTGCTGGATTATCCACAGTTCCCAAGTTTCGGTCACCTACATTGTTTCTCTCGAAAGTTATTGATGTTTTGATTTGTTCATGTGGGCAAGCATACGTTTTTCTTTATTTCACCCTGACTAACGTCAAGGGAACAATTATTTTGAAGTTTGTTTACAACACATGTGCGTGTTTGTTACTGTTTTCACATCTTTTATCTGTTACATTGCTCTTCATCAACTAGTCTATACTGCATGATATTTGGTCTTTTTCCGCTTAGCGAACGCACTCGATATTTGAACACGTGGATTTCTCTTTCCTTTCTTTATTGCTATTTTTTTTTACTACAGACTAGTTGATGAAGAGCAACGTGACATATAAAAGATGAAAACAGTATATATGAAGTCAAGGTTATAAACAATTTGGACGCGTGCGTTTTCAAAAATACAAAAGATAAATTTAAATATTTGTAAGTGAGAACTAGTATTCAAAGAGCATTTTTTTCTTTCTTCTGATTATGACTGATCTTACTTAGTGTAGGAAAATATAAAAATGCTGAATTGTAAACAGATCAAAAGCGGTCCGTCTTGGTGATAAACGACCTATTCAACGTAGGATGTAGCGCTTTTTTCATCAATCACATTGTTACATTCAGAGAATGGTAACAATATATCATTCAATAACTCAATGGAATTGGAATCAGTCACTGAATCACTATTAGAAAACATGCAGACTAGTCGTCGTCTCCTTCATGTATCACGAACTGATAGATAACTTCAATCTTCATCTACTCGCAACTATTGCTAAAGGTATGTGCGTATATGTAGCAGTAGTAAATGAAGCGTGAAAATAAGTTTAATTCTTGCACGTATTTTCCAACTTAAACAAAATTAAACGCACAGCAATTGTCCATTTATTTACGTCAGCATATAGTAACTGTTTTCAAAATACGTCACACTACACGGATTACCTTTTTCAAATAATGTAAAACATTATTATGTAAAAATATGTAAAAACATGAAAATGAAGAGAGACCTAAATGTCTCAATGGTATTACCTAGGATCTAGCTTTGTAATAAGGCTCTGATGTTAGGATGACAATAAACGGCTTCAGCAACAGGGTCAAACAAACAGAAAATGGAAGAAATTGAGTATTTGTGAGATATAGAGTATAGATCATCTGTTCTCCAAGTTAAAAGTGAACCTACAGAGCGATAACAGGATCTGTACGACATACTAAACGCTGAAAAGTTCGAACTTTAATGCTAATTATTAAGAATTATTCAATAAATTCAACAGATACAATACGAGACTTTGATTTCTATAATGAATCAACAAGCACAGACAACTTATTCACATTTTTCTACATTCCAAATACGATTTATGAAAAATTGTACAATTTTAACACCAATCAGTTTATAATGGATTCTGATTTCATTGATGAATGTATCAATAAATATGTTGATTTAAAAGTTTCGGATAAAAATGTTTTAGATCGAAAGCGAAGTGGATCACTTCCTAACAGACGTCTCTACTATCGTCGTCTATACTTTCATAAAATATTCTATAAGTCGCGTCAAAGTTCTCGATTAGGTCATAATAATAGCGTTTTCATTCCTCGTCTAAAGCTAAAATCTGCATCCGGCTCTTTCGTTCCACGTGGCTCAAAGGAATGGAATGAACTTCCTTCGGTTTTAGCATGTCAGTCTTCTTTATCTGTATTTAAACGTATGTTAAGAGGTCATCTAGGCTTTCATTAATTTTTATGTTTAGATCTACTCTGTCTCTTAAAATGTATTGCGCTTATGTTTTCTCTCACAATATATGTGTTATAGTAGCGATTCTTCTTAGAAACTTTTTAGTTTAGGTTATCATGAGGTGTCTCCGGATGCCACAAGTCCGTTTGGTGCTTTTTTGTGATATCCTACCTTTGTGTAAAATAAAATTTCAGTCCAGCATTAAGTGTGACAGTATATGGTGGATCATCCTACATTTATCCTAATGATCTTGTATGGTCCATTCATTGTTCAAAATGGGAACCAATTTTATCCCGATGGACGTCTGGTGTCAAAACCAGTCATTGGATGAAGAACGTGGATATGAATGAAATTTTAATTCGGTTTTCATGTTGTGTCTATAGGACGAAAATTAATTGAAAATAATCAGTATGAATGGAGACTATCATTTTCATCGATTGAAAAATATTTAGTGAAAAACGTTTTCCATGCAAACATCGGCAATGTTTTGTTTTAATTAGACGTTTGTTTAAATTAATTTCATCATCACCTAAATTAACAAACAATGTTTTAAAAGCATTATTTTTCTTGTATCTTGACAGAACTAACACTGATGATCTGGAGCAACGATGCAGGGCTGGGCAACTCCAACTCCGGAGGTGACAAATTTTTGGGTGGAGTTGGAGTTGAGATTTTAGAAGGGTGGAGTTGGGTTTTTGAATTTTTATTCTCAACTCCGTTTTTCATTTTTGGAAATATTCAATAGTTGTAAACTGATCTTCTAAACGATTGAGTGGCTGTATTCACGAGTGAACGGAAGTTCTTTACGCTTTCCTGCCGGAAAAAGCTCAGAAACGTCCAGAATCCTGCAAAAAACCGAAAAATCTTCCTTACAAAAGTGAAGCAGTCGGAGTCGAACTGGAGTTGACATTTCTGTTGAGAGAGCTGGAGTTGGAGTTGAAATTGAAAAATTTTGAGCGGAGTTGGAAATTTGGAAACGGAGTTGAGTTGGAGTTGAAAGTCAGCGGAGTTGCCCAGCCCTGCAACCATGTTTGGCACAATTATTTCTGAATATACTGCATTTCATCATTAATCATCTAAAATTAAATATCATTCCACATTACTTCATAGAAGAATGGAATGGCAAATTGGCAAAGAATGGAAAAATGGATGGCAAAATATTTAGTACCCATTCTATGCTAACGATGCAGAAACTGTCACCAGCAAGCATACGTTACGTTGGAAAAATCATCTTTTGCTCCTATAACCCGCAGGAAGAGTAAAAGAACTGTATGCCTCTCAGTCTTTCAGAAATGAGGAAACCTCTTAATGTTGAACAATGTTGATTTTTCACTTTTTATTCGAAATTCCACAAAAATTGCAGAAAAAGAGCATTTTTCGAAAAGATTGAGGTATTTTCATTTCAAAAACATCCGCATTATAACTCATTAAAACTGATATTTTTTTCTTCCAAATGCCAACTGCTTCGTGCCAACGAACTCTCTAGTTCGGCAATACAGAAAAGAAATGTTAAGGATAATAGCATGTTTTCAAGTCCATGGGATAATCAAATTCGTAATCGGGCGTTTTGTCTGTACTCCAACTGGCAAATCTCATCACATCCGTTGATATCAATTTCCCTGTGTCATGACCATATACTTTCGTAACTATTTTAATTGGTTTTTGTTCTGCTTTTTTGACATACAATCGACTTTGGTAATGGTAATTATTATAATATGTTGAATTATATTCTTTGTACCATGTTAGACAAATGCCATCACAATCTGCATCAAATACCAGTTTGTCATATGTTTGATTTTCACCACCCCACGATTGAACGAGATTCGCCCAGTAGTTCATTTCATTGTATGGACCACCTCTGTTGGCAATACATTGTGGTGGTTGTGACATGAAATTAAATAAATACGTGCGACCATCATCACGTACATAGATATTTTGATTACCACCGAACAGTTCATCACCTGATTTCGAGAACCACAGACGAGACATTTTACCCAATTCTTTATCGATGACATAGCGTTCTTGAACAGTGCCATTTATTGTCAGAGTAAAGCGATACCGGCTGGGATTTGGAATTTGACTTCTTACTAAATCAGTCAACAATAAACTCAATAATAGAACTGCAACAGCCATCATTGTTTGCAACTGGGAGAAATAATTCTCTGCTTTCAACAATGTTTACCTAAAAAAGAACCTTGTAGAGTCAAAAGCCACGTGCTCTTGTTCTCGTCTTTTATCTACAAGGTGAAATAAATTATGATTCTCGATTCTGATTACAGAAGTTCATATCACATGTCGAACACGTTCGACGGTACTGTTCAGCTGCTAAACTATCAAAAACAGAACGCCATCGGCAGCAAAAATCATGTTGATATAACTTATTTGTTTTTCTCATACGGTACAACGATATTGCAAAGCGTCCATTTAAATGAATTTATAAGTTTTCCTGTGAAAAATACGTTTAACAAATAGAGAATGAAAATATTTGGTAGAAACATAAAATGCACTTTTGCTTTATAGTTGTGGTTTGAAACGTATCTATTCTTCATTTTGATTCACTAATCGGGTATGATTGGTGAAAGAAATTTGATATGATACGCGGGATTGGAAGAAACAAAAGGAATTAACTTTTTCCAATTATATTCGATTTTCTTGCAAAAGTCAAATATACTTCGATAAATTTTACCTATCTGTCGCTATCACACACATCAATAACAATAACAACAAAAGGAACTAATAAATAGAATACACCGTGGGCGGTTATTTTTCGTAGCAAATAGAAACTGATCGTCTCATGTTCGACGATCGTATCGAATAAGGGTGCGAAAGATTTACCCTTCATGTTTCTGAACTAGTCATGAAAGAAACGTTACAACAATTTTACTTTTGTGCTTTTTTTTCACAGGAAAACTCATAAATTCATTTAAATGGGCGCTTTGCAATATCGTTGTACCGTATGAGAAAAATAAATAAATGGCACTGTTCAAGAACGCTATGTCATCGATAAAGAATTGGGTAAAATGTCTCGTCTGTGGTTCTTGAAATCAGAATTCAGAAATCAGAAAGACTGAGAAGCATATAGTTCCGATTGTAACGGAATTTTTCCTGTTCAGCTTTTGGGAGTTATATATAAAACTCGTTATTTATGACATTCTTCGATTAATGTTCAAGTTTCCATTTCGAACATCCGGCGTCAGTCCTACGGTTCGACTGAAAAGGGTTTCATCTTCGTTAGACATTTTTCATTGACTTCAAAACTGGAAGCGTCAAAATTTCCACAGATACAAGTCGAAGATGAGAGCGTCGCTTTATAGAGGTCCACCTTGTTCTGGGCTCTTCCATTTCTACAGTTTGTCTGATTTTTACTGTAGCCTTCTCTCTCATTCCGGTGAGTCGGCTTTTACTAGCACTGAGTACGTTAAAGAAAACATATAGACCGACACTTCAAAACATTCACTGTTTCAAACAAAGATCATGCAGTTCTGTAAACAAAGTCAAAGATGTGACATCATTGCGGCGTCAGAATTTGTATTCATGATGGGGAGAGCTGAGCCCTCAAAAATTTCCTTTTCCAAATTCCTATATACACCTTTTATACCAAAAACGTTTTTATTCAATGATAGTTAGGCAAAAAAAAGACATCAACTTTTGACGCAAGTATATCAGTGTCAATTTTTCAAAAACCTTTCTGTAAGAGGCAACGATCAGCCCATCTCTTCTATCATCGAAAAGAGGCAAGGTGTGTTCTAGCTGATTAATATGACTACAAGGATTACCGTCCGATACAGTGTGATTTTTAAACAACGATTTGATATTTGCTTTCTGAACAGTTGCAATCAAAAGAAATGGACAAATATCATTTATTGAGAAATTATATTTGTAATATTTGTCTAAGTTAGTGTTGTACATATTCGAATAATAATCATCAACAGAAAATAAAGTCACTGATTGACTGAGTCGGCTAATAAGTCGTCTCTTCTTCTGATAACTTTCTATCGAAGCGTTGTTGTAACGTGGTCTCCAA